GCACCGCTCGACTCGGTACCGCGCTCCGCTCCGCTCGGCACCGCACCGCTCGACTCGGTACCGCGCTCCGCTCGGTACCGCTCCGCTCAGCGCTCCGCTCGCACCGAGGTCTCTCCGGACAGCAGCGGTCCGCACTGCTCCGCACGGTACCGCAGCGCCCCGCGGGGCCCGTCGCTGCCCCGCTGCCCGCCGGAGCCTCGGCGCCCGGCACGGCCGAGGCAGCGCGCCCCGCTCCGCCGGCCCCGGCCCCCGCGGCGGGCTCTCCCGCGGGCGGCGGGATGGCCGCCAAGCCGGCCGAGCTGATGGGCATCTGCTCCAGCTACCAGGCGGTGATGCCGCACTTCGTCTGCGTGTCCGAGGAGTTCCCGCCGCCCGCCCGCCCCGCCAAGACCCCCAAGGGCAAGCTGCGGCGGCCGCGGCAGTCGCGCTTCAAGACGCAGCCGGTGACTTTCGACGAGATCCAGGAGGTGGAGGAGGAGGGGGTGTCCCCCATGGAGGAAGAGAAGGCCAAGAAGTCCTTCCTGCAGTCGCTGGAGTGCCTGCGGCGGAGCACGCAGAACCTCTGTCTGCAGCGGGACCGCCTGGGCAGCTGCCGCCTCCGCAACAGCCTCGACTCCAGCGACTCGGACTCGGCGCTCTGAGGCTCGGCGGGACCGGCCGGCGGCGGCACGGACTGAGCTGCGGGAGCCGCGCCGCGCCCGCACAGCGGCGCCCGGACGGGCAGCCGCCTCGGGATGTTTTCTAAGAAAGCGCTTGTACCTTCGTTTCTATTTGATTGTATGAAACTCACCATTTAAAAGACAAAAAGAAAAAAAAAAAAATCTTTTCTATTCGTTAGAAGAAATGAGCTGTTTTAGATGCATTGAGCTGCTGGACTTTATATTTATTTTTGCATTTAAACTGTTGACTGCATTAATTTAATATGTTTCTACCTGAATGTCTGTTATTATTTCCTTAAAAGAGTAATAAATCTGATATATTTGCACAGTACTTACTGGGCTGTCCTTATTTCAGGTGTTCAGCTGTCCTTGTTCAGCTTTTAGGAGTAAGGGGATTTAAAAGCCGTCGGTAGCCAGTGCAGAGACAGCAATGCTTTGCTTGCTGCTCAGAGAGGTTTTGCAGGCTGTAGTGTCAAGTATAAACTAATGAGACAAAAGTCGAGTTAGATTGATTTTAAACTACTTTATTTACTTCTTTGAGATATTTTTGTTAACCTGAATTGACGTTTAAAGAGCGTTTATAACTGGTGCCCAAGAGCCTTGATGCAACTGGGCAAGTCTCTTGCATTCACAGAAATGCATATATAGTTTCTATTTTCATCCAAGTTGGTTTTGTCTCTTCTCCCCTTCCCCTTCTGACCCAGAAGTTATTTACTGCTGCAGACGGTTTTGGTAATTGGTTAGAATGCAGTTTTATTCACTAGAGCAATTGATACTATGTGGACATTTCTTGCAGTTTAAAGTTAAGGGGATTCTGATGATGGTAAATTTATAGGAGTGAAGCTTCTGTTGAGTTGCTGCATGTGTGTGTGTGCAGGTACATGTAAGATTTTCTCTGTGGGATACATCCTGAAAAGCGTCTGAAGCCCTCTGCAGAATGGAAGCCAAATTCCTGGACTGGGAATATTCTGCCTGTATTTTCTCCATTTTCTTGAAACATTCCTGTTCTAACAGAGTAATCCTGTCGTAGAACCTTCCTTAAAAGCAAGCCTCTGGAAATTAAAACTTCTCAGTCAGAAGGTATTAGCTGATACTGGGCTGTAGCTAATATTTCTCTGGTATGATTTTCAGGAGATTTTCGGTGCTTCTAATGTCGTGGTTTGAGGTGCACTCATACTGATCAGCTGGAGAGGTAAGGGCTAGGGCAGAGGAAGAAGATGGACATGGTACCAGTGACACAGGACTGCAAACCACAGATCTCTACCCTCTGGGCACTGAGGTACAGCAGATGACCCAAGTGACTGGCTCCTGGTTACTGCAAAACTGAAGCTTATCTTTTTCTAGCTTAAAGCTAAGGAAAACACGGGGGACGTGGGGTGTGGCTTGTTTTTGGACAGGTCATTCACAACTCCCTTGCAGTACCAGCACCTCCAGCTGACCTCCAGCACCAGGGGAGGGTTGTGCAAGCAATTCAGCAGGTAAGGAAACAGGTCTGGACTCTGACCCAACCTGCTCATAAAAAAGCATTTAAATGACCCCATGTGAATCCCTGCATGCAGCCTGTGAAATATCTTTTCTCCCTTTGCAGTTAGACCCTTTTGGCTGCTGTCTCTGCATGGTACATAACATCTATGCACAAAGCAGAGCAACTTGACCTCCAGAACAACTTTCAGTCAGGCAGGCAAACTGAAATCAGTAAGACCTAAGCAGTTACCAACAGCTGGGCTAATTTTCCTCATCAGATTCCTAACAGTGCTTCAATTCTGGGAGTTCTGGGTTTGGGAAAGGGTTTGCAACATCTGCAAGCCCTTTGCCAAACATCACGTGGGAACTCCGTAGCCATGTGTCTTATGTTGCATAATGTACACAGCTAATAAGATCCATAAGATTTCCAGAGATTGTATAGTGTCCTTCCAGTACTGCAGCTTTTAGGCTACTTTTCAGTTTCCCTTTGCTTTCAGGTCTGGTAGAAATCCCTGTGATACACAGAGTGTAGGGTAGCTTCAAGAGGCTGTGAGCACATGATCCTTGTCCTCACTCCTAATTTTTGTTTTGCAACATTTTTGTTTGCCTGCTAGCAGCCCTTTACCTTTGCTGTTGCCATCCCTCCTTCAGCGTGCAGCTGTGCTGCCAGCATGCAGGAGGCACAGGAGGCCGTGCTGCACCAGCCAGCAGCAGGCCATTGGATACTCACTTCCTCAAGGGTGAGAATAGCCGTGTTCTTTTCTGTTTCAAGAGACAGATGTAGACGTTAACACATCTACAAAGAGTATTTGAAAATCTGCTGTAGCATGTTTGAGGAAAATGTCATATTCCAGTGGTTAGGCCAAATAAATGAGTTTCTCTTCAACTGTTCTTTGTTGACATTTTTCTGTTCCATTTCAGAGTGAATAACATGGGAGATGCCAATGCTAAAGATAGGCTAGTGTTTATCTTCCAAACAGTTGCAATCAAGGCGAAAGGGTGAAAAGCCAGGGTGATTTAGCTATGTCCTGCAGAGGCCTTCCTGAATGCAGCTGGAAAAATAAACCTCCCTCCCAGTCTTCCTGTGCTGCTAATTTTGAAGGTTTCTTGTGCAGTACTTTTTAGCGTCATGACTATCGTGTCTATCTGTCCTGTAAGGATTGCAGGAAGACTTATTACATTCACTTTAGTGAGGGTAATGACTGTATCAAAGAGGTTTGAGTCTGTCATCTGCTCCCTAGGCTTGAGATGTGGGTTGTACATTTCCTTTCAGCAATTCACAGCTTAAAAGCATCCAACAGATGCCATTTACAGTGATGCATGACAGTGAGTAGGCATGAGCATTCCATGTCTGCACAGGAAGGAGCTGGAAGTCAAATGCTCATGGTGCAGCAGGATGTTTCTTAGGGCAGAGGTGAGACTGAGCACCCCAGGAGCGTCTTTAACACTATTTTTTTTCCAAATTACAGGAAATTGCACAGGAGAATTTATCTTTAATGGGACTGGTTGTTATTCTCATATCACTTTATATATAAATCATTCTCTCCTTGTGTCAAGAGGTTCATCCAGTCAGTAAAAACTTGAACTTGAAAGCAAGTCTTTTATTCTCTTTCTGTTTTGTGCCCAGTCCCCTCCATGCCTGTCAGCATTTCTCCCAGGTGCTTGTTTTTAAATGCTGTGTTATTGCAAAGCTCATCATGCTGGTGTAGTGGGACTGTACCTCCATGCCTTACTTTGACCTGATCAGTGTAGAGGGGATCTGTGCACAGTGCAGTATCTTTGCTCTACCAGAATCAGGGGAAAAAAAATCTTCTCTGTTCATCCTATGAGAAAGCTTTTTCTGCTCTTTTTGCAATCATTTTAGCTAGGTTTTTTCAGTAATTAATGGAGGATTTCTGGGTGCAATTTAGTGTCCACCTCAAGAGGCTGAGGACAATCTCCTCTCCTAGCTGTGTATGCACCAGTTCTGCTCTTGCGTAACTTCTCTTACCCCTGGATTTCCAATGATTCCCTGGCAACACTTCAGAGTGGAGCTATTATCAGGAACAAATATGAAAAAGTGCTTGCAATTCCTGCAGGGTATTGCAGGAATTTTGTGCTGGGATCCTGAAAATGCATTTGCTTTAGGAGCTGGCTAATGATGCTGGGGATCTGACCCTGCAGGAGCACAGTGGACAGACAGGGGCACTGCTGTTGGTAAGAAGCACCACACTGCTGTTATCTAACCTCCAAAGTGCCAGCAGAGCCCTGGGACAAAACACAAACCAAGGCATCTAGTTAATTGTCAGGTTGACAGCAAACAAATTGCAGTGTAAGAGGGGCCAATGAAGTGAGCTCTAGCAAATCTGGTTGCTGTGGTTTCTCAAATGTCAGCAGTGCCAGCAGTTTGCTGGCTGCCTTCCATGAGGTTTGGCCCCCTGGTACTGTGCATGGACCTCAGCCTTCAAGGCTCCTGGTGCCAGGCTTTTGAGCCACCACCATAGAGACCAGCATGATTCTCCAGGCTGCACCAAGCCTTGTTTGAACCTCAGCTCCCATGGCATGGCTCAGCCTGGGCTGTCTTCTGTACACTGGGCTTGCATTTCTGTTGGGAAAACCTTGGGGAGGTGCAGATAACCCAAAATCCCTGAGCAGAACTCAGACTGTTTGTGCAGTGTTGGTGCCCTGGATTTGCAGTTTGACTCTTCACAGCCATCCTAAATAGAGTGTGCAAGCTGCAAGCAGTGCTTCAGCAAGGCTGGCTCCTACCTCTGGGGTATTTTTTAAGCTGTAAAGATGCAAGATTACATGCTGAGAGAAAATAATCAGGTATTCAGTAACAACACAGCAAGAGGGTCTCCATTCTCTTGAACCAGGGGGCCAGTGACAGGACAGGGAGGTCACCAGGTCAACCTTGAGGACTTTACCAAGTAGTAAGTGGACTTCTCCTTGAGTAGCCTGAAGTCAGGTGACTGAATTTGGAAGAATTCATTAATTGTGGGAATGAAATAATTCTCAAGCAGCATCTTGCCACATGTGTGTGTGTGTCCCTGTGCCTGGTCTATGTAGTCTGGAGTGAATGCTGCTAGTAGCAGAGCAGGCCAGCCTTTGACTGTGCAACAAAGCACTGCCAGGTATTTAATTGGCAGTGCAATTACTTAACTTGTCACAGGTGAGTAGGAAATTTTTCCTGCAAAACCGAGAGCTGTGAAATCAGTCATGTAAAGGTTTCTTGTGCCAGAGTATTAGCTTTAAGGCTATTAAATGTGTAAAGTTGATAATTATGCACTTGTGACTCCTGTGTTAGCAAATGTCATGGTATGTTACAAGCAGCTTAGGGACAGATGCTGACTTTGGCTGCACTGGTGTCAGATTGGCTTTGGCTCAGCTGTACTCAGGAGTCAATCTGGATTTGCTCCTTGTTGCATTCATATTATTTGCTGATGTTGCTGAGCATGTTTCTAAACTGGCTTGAAATGTCCAAGACACTTCTCCCCTGCTCCATCATGCTCAGGATACTCTGAGGTTTCACACAACCTTCCACAGCTTTAACCATCCTTGTGTTTTGGAAGCAGTGTGAGTGATGTATGTGCACTTGGCTGGGACATCTGTCCCCTTCACCCACACGGAGTAGGAGCCAACAGCAGCAATGGTGAAAAGCTGGGAAAACTGGAGCAAGAGGGAAAGGGGCTTTCCTTCATCTCCTCTGTCTGTCCATACTAATATGAGACTGCAGAAAAGTTATTTTGAAACCAAGGTGAGGTTCACCTGCATCTGATTTCAAATAAAATAAGATCTACCTCAGTGATTTACTACTCTGTCCTAAACAGAGGTTCTTTGTTTGGAAATGCTTGCATTAAAGAGGTTGAGGTTTTTTATTAGGAACTG